CAGTACTGTCCCAATCACGTTAAAGTTGACAGTCGTGTCCTGTACAAGTTTTTTTTTTTTTGTCTCGTGTCCAATCTTACTTTGAAAAACCGCGACAGAGCGAGTCCGCAAAAGTCGAACCGCGAATTAGCGAGCGACTGTCATCTGATTTCAAGATGGCTGCCACCACCTACTGAACTTACAAACCCAAAAGGCATCACAACTCAGTTTTACAGACGTTTTGCTAAAGCTTGGAGCGGTAGTAGCTGAGCAGTAACATCTTGCGAGATGTGGCTGAGGCGGCCATCTTGAAGGAAATCTCAGCCGTGAAAGGTGACGGAGATTGACAGATCTTTATTTTTATGTCTGAATAGTTCACGGGTTTTGTTTCACTTTTATCATTAAAAGAGTTTTTTTGTAGAAAACCTGAACTTTTACGCATGCGTTCTGCAACGTTGAACGTAGAGGAAGGCTCGTTCTGAGCGCCTCCTGCTCGCTCCCTGTGCAGTCCTGACCTTCAGAACATTATCCGAGTCGGCGTGACGGTTGCTTTTGTGTAGAAACGGTGTTTAGTTACAGCCCGAGTGAGTTCTTTCTGAGCAGCTTTGGGACATTTTAATGCAGTCGGGGGCTGTACAGCATGCAAATGTGCGTCTTGTTCATTTGGATTTATGGTGGTTGTTTAAAAAAAAAAAAAAGACTAAAGTTTGGAAATTAAAAAAAAAAAGCACATTTATCTTTTTTACATGACCCCGTGAAGGAATTCAATCTTGTTGAGGTTTAGTATTCCCGACGTTAGTCCTCCTTTTCACTGTGAAACACCATTTTTATTGTTTTTGATTTAGAGCAGACGTGTCAAACTGAAGGCCCGTGGGCCAACTCTGGCCAACCGGTCCACAAGATTATATTTTAAGTGCAAAATATTTTTAGTCCTTCTCATTTTGCAGAAAAAAACTGAATTCCCGTGACGGATGGCAAACTTCGAAGTCAGAAAAAGGTTGGATTGTTAACTTGTTTTTCATTTTGATCATGAGAACGTTAAATAAGATGTAACTCTTCGTGAACCGATGTCTGACACGAGTAGGCCTGTCGCGATAAACACTTAAATCAGTTAATCGCATGATAAATGAAAATTATCAACCTCGTTTTCATTTATCGGCTTTATTGTTTCTTCGTGTCTCTCTTTCTACTGAAGACACTGGACGACAAAAGGCTCAACTCCGGTGCTCTTCACTGACCCCTCCCTTTCTTTTTCCTCTTTAAAATCAATTTTAACCGTCTAAAATCACATTTTTGGATCGTTAAAAGCAGCTAAGCTACGAGCTAAGCTAACAGGCCGACCTCTGGAGGAACCTCCGACTTATCGAAGCTCTAAAATTCACAGTTGAAACCCGTGCCTTCGTATAAGAAGTTGTTTTTCTCTGCAACAAGAAGCTGAGAACTTTACTGATTATTTTTTTTTTAATTAAAAGCTTTGCGTGAAAAATGCTATGCTAAAGAGCTCAAACCACACCGAGCGTCCGCCATGTGTTCGGCCCATGTCACATGAAGGGCCCTCCCATTTTTCTTAAAGACACACTGCTCAACTATCCGTCCTTTGGCTCAAACAGTCTTTTACTGCCACCCGGTGGTCAGAAAAAGGTACTACACCCAAAACGAATCAACATTTCTTCTAAAATTGACTAATTATTCTTAAATTTCAAACAATATTATCGTTTATCACAATAATTTCTGAGAATTAATCGCCCAGCATAATGTGTTATTGTGACAGGCCTGGAGTTATGAGTGTCGATTGAGACTGAGCCGGGGCTTGGACCATGTTCTTTACTTTGGCCCCGCTTTTAATGGAGTTTCTCTTTTTAGGTATGCGGCAAAGAAATTAAAGTTTCCAAGTTTAACTAGAGAAATTGGATTTTCTGCGAAAATGCAGTATGAATGCTTATTGCGGAAGAACTTGCTGAAAACAGCTGAAATTAGCTAAAACATGCTGAAATGTAGCTGAACTGGAAGAACAAGCCTAAAATAGCAGAAGACAGCAGAAATAACACATATTTAGGTTCAAATAAGCCGAAACGAGCACAAAAATGAGCTAAAACAGCTGAAATGAGCAAAAAATAGCTGAAAAGTCAGAGAGAAGCAAACATTACCAGAAGGAAGTGAAGAGAGCACAATTATTCTCAATTAGGATGAAAGAAGCAGAAATGAGCACAAAAAAGTTAAAGATATCTGAAAAGAGCAGGAAACAAAATCAGCTGAAAAGTAGCAAAAAGGCAGAAAGAAGCTTAAATTACCAGAAGTGGAGAGAGCTTGTTCACTAAATTAGGCTGAAAATAGTTTAAACGAGCGCAGTATATGTGGAATTAGCTGAAAAAGCTAAAATTAGCATTAAAACGGCTAAATAGTAGTTGAAATACCAAAAAAGCTGAAACTTGCAGAAATAAGCTGAAAGAAGCATAACAAGCTGAAATCTGCACAAAGAACTTAGAAGAACGTAGTTAGCAGAAATAATCTGAAATAGCACAAAAAAGCTGAAATGAGCTGAAAGTAGCTGAAGAAAAGTCTAAATTTGCACAAGGAAGCTGAAAGAAGCTGAAGCAGAACAAAATGTGAAAGGAGCAGTAAAAGTTTGTGAACACATCTAAAGATCTGAAGGATGTAAAATGAGCTCAGTTCATTTTCTATGAGAAAAAAAAGGTGTCAGAAAAGGCTAAATATTTCAAAAAGCTAAAGCTGCATCAATACCAAAAGTCATAGTGGTGTTGTCCTGAAACATCTGAACGTTTTGATTCATGATTTGTTGAAATGGCACAAAAAGTGTGGAACGATAAACGCGCTGAAAAACGTACAGATGAAAAATGGATCACAGTTCTGTGAATGCTCCATAAACATTCACAGAATTATAACACATTTTATTTGATGCATCTAAAAAAAACAAACAAGTAAACAACTTTATTAAATTTGGTTGAAAAATAAGCAAGTTATGTAATTTTAGTTGAATTAAAAAAAAATATACTTTTTTTGAACAATCCGATCAGACGATCCTAATTGCTGGGCTTCGACACCCATTTTCAGGTGAACAGATTCTCATGAAAGCTGCTCAGGACTTGTCGGCTGTGTGCTGCTGGACTTTTCATTTTCAGGCGACGGCACATGTTCACATCGTAACGTTACACAAAAGATCTCCTGATGCATGCTCAATAATCCAGGTAGAAAAATCCAAAAAAGTTCAATCTGGTCCTCTGGACATTCAAAAAAAACAAATAACAAAACAAAGCAAAAAAATATATTTTGTATATATATTTGTATGTATGTATGTATGTATGTATGTATGTATGTATGTATGTATGTATATATATTTTATATATTTTGCTTTGTTTTGTTTTTTGTTTTTTTTGAATGTCCAGAGGACCAGATTGAACTTTTTTGGGTTACACAAAAGGTCATCTTTTTAGACGAAACCTTAGTTTTTAACCGTTCCAGGCGATCTTTGTGTACATCTATGATTTTCCAAGCTCTTTTCATTGCATATATTTAATATACGTTTATCTCATACATGCTTATGGGTGATAAACGCAGCTGAGGTGTTTTGCGAGGCCGTTTAATTTAATTAGAAAGCGACTCGTGTGGACGGTCTCCTGGCTGCAGTGGCGCGGTGTGACCAGCAGGTGGCAGCAGCACACCGCCCGCGGGGCGCAGTCCCGCGGCCTCAGAGCAGAAGAAGACATCTCTGTCTGCTTGTGTCTCTGCAGCCTGGACGAGACTCCACCAGCTGAGGTAGTTGTTGGACAACTTTCACCTTTTATTCACGCCTGTTAACTAAAAACGGCTTTCTGTTTTTTAAGGGGAGCAGCCATAGCGATTAAAAATTTTTTTTTTTTTGCTATAAACAAATATTTTAAATATTTTTTTCCTCAGCTGTGATTTAATGAAGATGTTCATGAAGGGATCTGTAACTTTTAGTTGATTAGTAATCTTCATCTTGTTTCTGTAATTTGGCAGAAAACCCCACCTGAAGCTCGTTGTCTCTAATTAGCTGCACGTGCAGCTAATATCATTAAAATAATCAAATAATGGCTTCTGTTTTTGTAATTTTTAATCCAGGTAAAGAGTTTTATTCACTAGTAAGTTTAAAAATAATAAAAAAATCAGCAGAAAGAAAAGAGTTTTGATTTAATGTCTCTTTTTCTTTCTCATTATGAACAAGGATTATCAAGAAAGAGTCTGGGTTCTTTAAGCAAAGTTTATTTAAAAAGATTTGGAGAAACGAGAATCCGATTGTGTTTTTATCACATAAATACATTTTGGTCGTGTGTAGATTAATCTTATTTTAAGAAGACGGTTTATTTTATTTAAATCACTTGTACTCGTTTTAAGAGCGTTATCCGATATGAATCGATATTCTTGCGTCCGCCCTGTTTTAAGTTACATATTTTATGGTTTATTTTATTACAATGTCAAATGTTATCGTTAAAATTTTATGCAGCTTGGGTGTTTTGGTGCCGGTTTTGTCCGGGGCACTCTTGTACATGAGACTTTTAATCTTAAGGAGTTTCTCCCAATAAAATATAAATAATAATAATAAATTGTTCAAATGAAAGCTTCCCTAAAACTTCCCAAAGAAAACTGACTTCTACTGTTTTTAAAAAATGTCTCCACATGAAAAAAATCCACCGGTTTAAAATACAAAACCGCACGTGGAGAGAAAAACAACTTTAGGGCCAGTTTCCCCTCACTGGACTCCATTATTAAATAAGGATTTGCAATGTTTATCTCTCATCCTAACTGTCGCGGTACTAATTTTCCTGTCAAGTGAAGCATTTTGCTTTCTGTTAATTAACGAAGAGCTTGTGTGAAACATTGAAGAACTTCGTTAGTTTGATTTGTATATGTTGGGTGGTAAAATGTGTGAAATGTCCCTTTAGTCTGCTTTAAGCGGCACCATGAGCTCCTCCATGGCCGACTCTTTCAGGTTTCAGTTCTGGAGCAGTTGTTTTTCTAAAACCTTCTTTTCTCCCTCGCAGGATGTTCCAGTTTGCCGTCGTCCGAGGCGGCCTCGGCCTGCTGGCCGTCAGGAGGGCGGTCGTCCTCTCCCGGTCGGCCCACTCTGCCCCGCAGCCCCAATACACGCCCATCAAGAAGGTCATGGTGGCCAACAGAGGTAAAACCCTCGTCCAGACTTTGCTGATTCACCTCAATTCGTCCAGATGAAGCCGTTCACTGCGGCTTTTATTTACAAAGCGCAAGAAAGTTACGTTTAATCTTCCTGAGGCAGAAACTCTCAGTTCTCTGAATTATTAACGGGCCGCAATTATTGTTTTCCCGTCCTCGTGCTAATATATTTAAAGACTGAGGGTGGTTCTGTTTGCGTCATCTTAAAAAAACCAAGTGGATTTCTGGGAATTCTGGACGTGGTCTAGAAGCTGAAACCACAGTTTGAGTAGTTTATAGTCCTGTCGCGATAAACAATAAATCAATTAATCGCATGATAAGAATTATCGACCTCGTTTTCATTTATCGGCTTTATCGTTTCTTCATCTCTCTCTTTCTACTGAAGACACTGGATGACGGAAAGCTCAACTCCGGTGCTCTTCACTGACTCTGCCCTTTCTCTTTAAAAATCTGTTTTAACCGTCCACAGTCGCGTTTTTTGATCGTTAAAAGCAGCTAAGCTGAGAAGCTAACAGGTCGACCTCAAGGAATAAAAAAAAAAATCTTGTTGAAGCTCCAACATTTACGGTGGAAACCCGTGCCTTTGCGTAAAAAGTTGTTTTTCTCTGCAAAAAGAAGCTGAGAACTTTATTTTTATTTATTTATTTTTTTAATTAAAAGCTTTGTATGAAAAACGCTATGCTAAAGAGCTCAAACCACACCGAGTGTCCACCATTTTAAGAACTGAAAAACGGGTAGAGCCCATGCCACGTCAAAGGGCCTCTCTTCCATTTCTCTTAGAGACACGCTGCTCGCTCCCTCACTATCCATCCTTCAGTTCAGTCTTGTACTGCCATCTGGTGGTCAAGAAAATGTACTACACTCCAAACAAATTAACCAACATTTCTTCTTCAATTTGACAATAATTACTAATTATTGTCAAATTTCAAACAATATTATCGTTTATCGCAATAATTTCCGAGACGATTAATCGCCCAGCAAAATTTGTTATCATGACAGGCCTACTTGTTGCTCTTACTATTAAAGGGGCCGAGATGGGGTAGAGGCAGGGCAGCCGACTCGGGACCCAAAAGTCCCAGGTTTGATTCCCTGCCATTCGCACATATCGTGGCGTCTCTGAGCAAGACACCCTATCCCGAATTGCTCCCCGAGCGCCAACATAGCTGCCCACCGCTCCACCTGGGTGTATCGCAGGTGTGATGGGTTAAATGCAGAGAACTAATTTTGTCTTTGTATGGGAACAATGTTGACAACACGTAGCACTTTATTTATATTATTAAATAAAAAGACTAAAAGATGCCGGTTATTTTTATTTCGTTACTTTTAGGTTGGATTTAGTTGTTGATTACTTTACCTGACGTGCTGTTTCAGACCCTCCCTACTAACGGTGTTGTTTGTTTTGTTTTTTGCTTATCTGCAGTTTGGAGAGTTAGTGCTTTTAAAGAAAAGTCTGTTTCTTCTTCTACTGACCCGTGACTCGGGCGTTCTGCTACACCTCCGGTGGTTTCTACGAGCTTCAGTAAAATCTGACGGTGTTGGCACCAACTGTTGATGGCACAGTCTTAAACGTGTAGCTCTGTAGCCCTCAGCTCCTGCTGTGAAGTAGTCTCAGCTACCGACACATCAAAGGTCACTCGGCGCTTGTAAAGTTGAACGGGACAGTTTTTTTTTTTGTGCGTCGTGAGACCAGTTGACTCTGAATCCTGAACTGCGTTCGCTCCAAAAGCGAATCGGTTGCAAACGTACGTCTTCTGGTTCATGAGATGTTTTGCTAACGGACTCTGCGTCGGCTCATTAAGGTCTCACGAGCAGATCTCGTGCGGTCAGTCGGCCCTCAAACTGTAAGCTGGGGATGAACGTTCCAAAGTTTAGCTCCGTATCGGTCAAACTGGGTTAAAGCCAGTTTTCTGCTGGAGTCGCTTAGCTGTGGCGGCCATCTTTAAACTGACTCCAAACGGTTGATTGTAGATTTACCTCCAAAATTTTAGTTTCTTTAAAATCGGAGTGGTTCAGGGGATATTTTGCTAACAAAACGCAAATATATGGGGGAGTGGTGGCGCAGAGGTTAGAGAAGGTGGGCCTGTGATTGGAAGGTTGCCGGTTCGACTCCCCGGAGCGACATTAAAATGCGAGTGGAAAAGGTGAAACGCCCACACCTGCCTCCACCCTCATTTGCACCACTCTGCGCCCTTGAGCAAGGCCCTTACCCCCCCCACCATCTGCTCCCAACCAGGTCTCTCTTGAAAACGAGTTGTCGTGATTCAACAAGACTAACCTGGATAAATAATAAAGGTTGAATAAGAAACATAAACATGGTTTTGTCTCTGAAGGCCTCGAGCCTTCCACTCGCACACAGACCGGTTCTCCATCGGTCTGCTTCACGTCGGCGTGACGAGATGTTCGGATCGCTTCATCACTCGACAGCGCTCCGGACCTCGCGAGTGACGAGTGGACCGGACCTTCGTATCGCAACAGAACAAACTGAGCTCCTCCGCTGTTCCCACGTTGCTTCAGCTCTTTAGTCTCGTCCTGTTCTCCACTCCTCCTTCAGCTCTTGTCAGACGAGGTTTTTCTCCGAGACACTGATTTGTCCCGTCCCCCATTATGTGTCACTGTGTTAACGATGTCAAACTATTTAGTCGCTTCTTTAAAAATGCTAATCGCCTCAGTCGGTGTTTTTTTTTGTTTTCCCGTTCAATATCGTCTTTAATTTTCTCACCCTTCGTGCTGACGATCCTCGTTCTGCTCGTTCAAAGCTTCTCGATGATTTGAGCGCCGTCCCTCGTCTCGTCTTTCAAGCGAGAACAAAACCTTCCAGATTTGTCTCTCTCTATAAACTGGGCTTTTTGAAGAACGGTCGTTTGGTTTTCGTGACAGCAGCATGAAGGCGAAGTGTTTTTTCTTCAGCGATCAGATGGCACGATGTGTTCTCAAACTTTAGACGCTAAACTTGTTTCAGTGCCAGTTTTTTTTTTTATATATAGTTTGAAGATCACCTGAGCAACGAATGTTCTTTCTGCACACAGTGTGCTAATTCATAGGAACATCGAAGGCCTAACATTACTTGAAGGAATGCATGTCGCCCGCCACCCGCTGCATCTAATCCACTCTGATCAAACCCCGTAAATATTAAGAAAAATCTCGTCTTCTATTCATGTAACTCAAACACATGGTTCATGGGCAGTTAACATTCTCAGCCATACTACCGTACTTTTCGGCCTATAAGTCGCACATAATTTACATGCCCTGCGACTTGTACGTTAAAGCGATTAATTTGTTTTTTCCCCCTATATTGATAAACAAGGATGCGCAATATTATCGGCATGGTGTCGGTATGTCCGATATTAACGATAAAGTTAAATATCGGACATCGGCCATTCCATAAAAAAAAACCTCAACAATATAAAAGGCTTCTGCTTTAATTTGCTATAATTTCGAACAAACAAATTGTTTTTTTAGTGTTAATCTTGTTAAATTCTTGTTAAAGTCCTCCCGTGCACGCTCCCGCCAATCGATTTTTGGCACAACACCGGCCCACATTTCCGGGTTGTCAATAGTGACGCGTTACAAATGCGTCACGTCAGCGGTGACGCATAATAGATGCGACTTATGCGGCGAAGCGACTCATTTTTTTTTTCCCACTTGACAAAACATTTTTGGACTGATGCGACTAATACGGTGGTGCGACGTATACGGCGAAAAATACGGTAGTTAAAAACATGTATAAAACCTTATCCGAAAATTCCCTAACATTCGTGACCTTGCATGACCTGTTGATGCTCATTGTGTTTTGTGATGATTCTCAGCTACTACCACTCCACATTTTAGCTCCGTATCTGTACAACATCCTGAGAATCCATTTTTTCTTTAAGGTTGAGGCGCTGTGGCGGCCGTCCTGCCTGCGGTTGGTTCCAACGTGAATTTTAGATGTTTATCTAAAGATAACTTAAGAGTTTTATTAAAATCGATCCAGGGGTTTGTGAAATATTTTGCCAACGCCACAGACAAACGAACGCACAGACGGACAAAACCTGAACGCCTTTAGGTGGCGAACCGTTTCTGAAGAATACCTGAAGGGGGCTCCGATGTCAAGAAGGCAGTAGCTAAGACTAGCAGCTCATACGAACAGGAAGTAAAGGAGGCTACTTCTAGTTTTAAAGCCCAAATCTCAAATTTTAAAACTTCGACACAATTTGATTATTTCAGGCAGTTTCAGCAGAATTACAAAACTTCTGTAGAAATAAATAAGATTGTGATGGAAAGGGTATAATCATGTAATGTAATCAGTGTTTCTGCTATTACACAAGCAGGGTGCCCCGCCCTGTCAATAGAACTGAACCTCCCGCCCCCACTGACGCAGTGCTAAGTTAGCGTAGTACAATACAGGCCGCTAGCTTCTTTAACTTTTGATACAGTGAAACACAGACGCGTCTCTGTCTACCCCCTGCTGACAACCCGGAAATGTGGGCCGGTGTTGTGCCAAAAATCGATGGTCTGCCAAATGGCGGCAGCGGAAGCGTGCTCAGGAGGACTTTAACTAGAATTTAACAAGATTAACACTTAAAAACAATTATTTGTTCGCTCAATTATAATAAAGGTGTCTGTCTAACTTTTACTTAATAAAAGAACTTAAATGGTCAAATCAGCTGCATTTCAAACGCATTCGCTGCCTTTGTGCTCCGGGAGCGCACAGACGGAGGAAAAAAAAGAGGAACGCTGTCCGTTTCTTCAAAATTCAACAAGAAAAGCACCTAAAACAGTTATTTGTTTGCTCAAAATTATATCAAAGGTGTGTCTCAGTTGAACTTTTACTTAATAAATGCACTTTGATGGTCAAATTAGCTGCATTTCGCCGGGGCGGTGCAGCTGGTTTGACGGTTGCTCAAAGTAGTGAGCAGAACGAAGGTGGCAGGCTATGGCAAGCCTATTGTGTCATTAATAGCTGGTGAAGATTCTCAGTCATCCAGTACATGGTAAATTCAAAAAAGTTCAAGACAAAAACAATCAAGTATAAAGTATAATAAATAAGTCATATTACATGATACAACGGCATGCCATACAGATACTACTACTCTACTGCCATCTAATGGCTGAAAATGGTACTGTTCAAAAAAATAATTCAGTCAAAATGAATGAAAACGGTCATGTCTCAGCCAAAAATTGGTTTATAAATATGGGAAAAAAATCCGTAAATGCGCCGTTTCGACCTATAAGTCGCAGGGCATGTACATTATACAAAAAACTGACTTATAGGCTGAAAAATACGGTAAGTGATGTGGGGGAATTGCATGTATATTTTTGAATTGGAAAGCTATTCTAAGTTTTATCCATCCATCCATTATCTTTTACCTGCTTCTGTGCGAGAGGCGGGGGACACCCTGGACAGGTCTGTCCATCACAGGGACACATGGAGACAAACGAGACAACCATTCACTCTCACACTCACTCCTAGAGACAATTTAGAGCTACCAGTCAGCCTAACATTCATTTTTTCTGTCTGTGGGAGGAAACCAGAATACCCGGAGAGAACATGCAAACACCACCCAGAAAAGCCCCCCAGCTGGGATTCGAACCAGCGACCTTCTCGCTGAGATTCAACAGCTCTACAAACTGCACCATCATACCACTCTGCAAAAGAAACAAGTTTTGCGTAAATCTCTGAAATATTTGAGTCTGAAGTTTAGAGGTGACCGCGGTCCACGTTGGTGTTTATCCAGTTCAGACTAGCCTGAAGCTCATCAGTCCTGTCAGGGTTTAACAGATTCTTCAAACCTGGGTCATCAGAGTGCAGTCTTGGTCCAAAAAGGATCAAATTAGAATAAACTCAACCATTCCCTCGTCTTCTTTCCTCGCAGGTGAAATAGCGATCCGAGTGTTCAGAGCCTGCACGGAGCTGGGGATTCGCACCGTGGCTGTTTACTCCGAGCAGGACACCGGACAGATGCACAGGTAACGATGATCTCCGCTGCGTTCGGGTCAGTGTGGCCTCCAGCGCTTTGACGAAATCAGTCTGGACACGCGTCTAACCTGCTGCTACTCAAGTAAAATCAGTTAAAACTCGAGGCCTTCTCACTTCCTCCCGTTTGGTTTTGATTTTTATTTATTGGTGAGTTTATAGTTAAATTGGTGTGAAACGGTGACACGAATCCTTGTTTGAGGAGTAACTGTCCAGGTAATTACCCATCCCTTCATCCGCTTTCATCTACTCCTTTAAAATCCAAACCATAAATCGGAAAAAAAAAAAAAAAAGATAAATTTAGCCGTAAGTACCGCTGTTATTCATCGTGGAAAATGCTGCGGCCACGCCAAACAAATGTGCACGCCTGAGAAGTGGTGCACATTTGTGGGTAATTCGTTTCTGGCAGGCTCCTCCATCACGCTAATGTCAACTTTGGTGCTTTGCAGGCAGAAAGCCGACGAGGCTTACCTGATTGGGAAAGGACTGCCACCTGTCGCTGCGTACCTGCACATTCCAGACATCATTAAAGTCGCCAAGGTAAAGAGCATTGACTAACAGGCTGCTTTAGTTAAACCGATGAGCTCATCACACACTTAATGGGCTTAAGGAGCATAAAGGAGTTTTAACTAATGGCTCTTAAAGCTGTCGTAAGGTACGGACGCTTGAGATTAAAAATTACAGCAACGGGCGTTCTTTGGATTTCCTTTTATTTGTTGAAGAACTTTAAAAAAGTTTAATTCTGAACGCATTCTTTAAAAAGTAATGTTTTCAAATTTTCCATTTCAAAACCTTCCTTATGATCTGTAGTTTGTTGAAATGTGGTGATTCATCACCTGAAAACTAGGGATGCACCGATCTACTTTTTTCCACTTCTGATACGATGCAGATATTTCCTGGAGAACCCTCATGTCCCGCTGAGACGCACGCGGCAGGGTACGTCTGCGCCTTTCTGTGTTGCCTCAGGAGGATGCCGAAGATGTATATCATTGGATTTTTGATGGCGGTGTTTCTGCTTTTTGGCACCGTCTGATACCTTTATCGGCTATTGAGGAAGACGGCGGCAGCATTTTCGGCCATGGCAAAGCTGCCGACCTTACGCGAAGGATTAGTTTGTGCTTCGAGCTCTCAGACTCGGCTGATTTACGAGCTCAACCGTAAGATGGAAGTGATTTATGAGAATCGTAGTCCATTGTGGCTTTGGAACTCGCCATTATGTTGGGATTGACCTTGGAGGAAGCTAATGAGCACGGACCAGCGGAAAACCCACGAATCTGGTCATTTTTGATCATCAAAAGTACCAGCAGAACTCAAAGCTGACGAGGAAAAAAAACCAGTCTGCCTGCACAAAAAAGCAACTGTGGCTTGTCTGGATCTGGCCTCCTCGTTCGGTTGTAGCCGACTTATCAAATTTCTCCTGGGGTGTGTGTAAACTAAGAAGGCTCTGCTCTGTCTAACCCC